ATCGGCTCAACGAGTTACTAGTGTGCTGTTGAATGGCCGTAATTTTGCATCCTGGGCTCGTTCCCTCCGCCTCTATGTTGGTGGAAAAGGCAAATCAGGGTGGATTTTAGGTACTGAAAATAGGCTAGATATTAAAGATCCTAAATATGCTCAGTGGGATATGGACAATTAGACCATTTTAGGATGGATGTTTAATTCTATGGAGGAACGCATTTATAATATATTCATGTTTTATGACTCTGTTAATGACTTGTGGACTGCTTTGAATCAAATGTATGCTCATTCTAGGAATGATGCTCGTATTTTTAAATTATATCAAGATATTGCTAAGGCCTCGCAGGAAGGCCTGAATTTGTCTGTAACTGATTATTTTGGGTATTTGAGATCTTATTGGGAGGAACTAGCTCAATATGAGCCTCTCAGTGAATTTCCTTCTGAGGCAGCCTCTCTTCTTGTCAAACATCTTGATCGTCAGCATACCTATCAGTTTTTGATGGGATTACGCCCAAAATTTGAACCACTAAAGTCTCAGATCTTGAATGCATCACCAATGCCATCCCTGTTGGAAGCCTTTGCTACTGTTGATGGTGAAGCACGCAGGCACCGTTTAATTCAGCCCTCAATTGTTCCTGTACCAGTGTCTGAGCCTGCTGGGGATAATATGGCTTTTGCAGCCAACTTTGGATCACGAGCTTCTGGAGTTCAGATTATTTGTCACCATTGTGGAGGGGTTGGACATGTTAAGGCTCGTTACTTCAAACTTCATCCTGAACTGAAGCAAAAATTTTCTAGGAACCGTTTATCTAGAACTGGTTCTTCTCGTACTGCGGCTGTTGCAGAAACTCCTGTTACTACTGGTGGATCTACTGTATTTCCTGGACTGAGCTAGCTTCAGTCTCAGATTAGGCATATCCAAGACCAGGTACTCCTACTGCATTTCATGTTAAGGCCAAGCAGCCCACTTGGGTTCTGGATTCTGGGGCCAATGATCACATGACTGGTGAGTTATCAGTTTTTTCTTCTAATGTCATACCTGTTACCCAATCTGTGTATCTTGCGGATGGCTCTACATCTTACATTCACAGTAAGGGTGATGTTTGTCTGTCTCCTGATATTACTCTTTCATCTGTCCTTCATGTACCTAAATTTGCCTTTAACCTTTTATCTGTTAGCCGGCTTGCAAAAAACCTCCAATGTGCAGTTATATTCTTACCAGATCACTGTTTGTTGTAGGACCTTTGTTCGAAGAGGATTTTTGGCAGGGGTTATGAGCGTGATGGGCTTTACTACTTTGGGGAACCACCAGGAACTCGTCTTTAAGCTTCTGTCCTACCTACTTCTAGTGTTTATGATGTTTCTTTTCGCACTTTTAGTCTGTGGCATGCACGTTTGGGGCATGTAAACTTTCAATATCTATGTCTATTGTTTCCTTCGTTAAATAAAGCATGTAAGGACCATAAGTTTCAATGTGAAGTTTGTGAGCTTTCTAAACATACTAGAACTAGCTATATTTCTCATATGAGTCGTGCTCCTAGTATGTTTGATCTTATTCATTCTGATGTCTGGGGCCCTTCCCCAGTTACTGCTTTCTCTGGACATCGATATTATGTGACATTTATTGATGATTATTCTCGTTGTACTTGGGTTTATTTATTGAAAAAGAAATCTGATGTGTTTCTTTTATTTACCCAGTTTCTTCAAATGATCAAAACCCAGTATAACACTGTTGTCCGTAATATTCTTTCTAATAATGGACGAGAATATGTTTCGAATGAGTTCCGGTCTGAACTTAATAAAAAGGGGATTTTACATCAACTCACTTGCCCCTATACTCCTGAGCAAAATGGCGTGGCTGAACGCAAAAACCGTCATCTTATGTCTGTGGTCCGATGTCTTCTGAGTGGTATGCATGTGCCTAAATTCTATTGGCACATGGCTGTTCTTACAGCTGCTTTTCTGATTAATCGTACTCCCAGTCGAGTTTTAGGTGGTAAGGCACCACTTCAGATTCTCCAGCCTGATTATACATTGTTTCACCTTCTGCCTCGTGTTTTTGGCTGTACTTGTTTTGTTCATAACCGTAGTCCTTCTCGTCATAAATTTGATGATAAATCTATTAGGTGTATTTTCTTGGGGTATTCTACTATGTCAAAGGGCTATCGTTGTTATGATCCTGTGACCAAACATATGTATCATTCTCATGATGTGACATTTCATGAAACTGTTCCTTTTTATAGTACTAATTCTGTGGTACAGGATTCTCTCTCTTGTGATCTGGAGAAGGAGATTTCTCCTATTGCCCGTCCTGTTCCTCTCTTTGAAAATCATACTGTCCTGGAATCTCCTTCTCCATCCATGCAGGGTTCCCCTCCACCTTTGCAGGTCTACTCTCGTCGCCATCGCACTCAACCTCCCCTGCCAGAATCATCTTCAGAACCAGGTCCAGATAACTCTCCTTCTCCTATTGCTCCTACAATTCCTGAGCGTACCTCCCGTTATCCTACCCGTGATCGTCATCCTCCTAATTGGTATGGTTTTTCTAGTAACACTAACCACCCTATTTCCCAGTATGTCTCCTATGATGGTCTTTCAGGTGCATATAAATCCTTCCTGGGCAAGATTAGGACCGTTTCTATTCCTCGATCTGTGTCAGAAGCCCTCCAGGATCCCAATTGGGTGTCTGCCATGACAACAGAAATGGATGCTTTACACCATAATAATACATGGGAACTTGTTGCTTTACCTTCTGGGGAGAAAACGGTTGGCTGCAAGTGGGTCTTTAATGTGAAGTACTTAGCCGATGGTTCTATTGATCGGTATAAGGCTCGGTTGGTGGCAAAAGGCTTTACTCAGATTCCGGGCAAAGACTTTAGTGCTACCTTTGCTCCTGTGGCTAAGTTGACGTCTGTGCGACTGCTTGTCTCCTTGTCTGCTGCCCATTCTTGGCCTCTGCATCAGTTAGATGTCAAGAATGCATTTCTTAATGGAGACTTACTTGAGACTATATATATGGATCCACCCCCTGGATTTCGGGCTGAGAGGGAGTATGCTGGGAAAGTCTGTAGGCTACGGAAGTCTCTTTATGGTCTGAAGCAATCTCCTAGAGCTTGGTTTAGTCGTTTCAGCAATGTTGTTTTATCCATGGGCTTTGTGCGTTGCCACTCAGACCATACTTGTTTTATTCGACGTCGCTCTGATGGTCGTTGCATTATTTTATTGGTATATGTGGATGATATCATTATCACAGGTGATGATGCTTCAGGGATTGCTCAGGCGAAACTTCATCTTCAAAAGTCCTTTGATGTGAAGGACTTAGGTCCTCTTCGATATTTTCTTGGAATTGAGGTTGCTAGATCCCGTCGTGGAATTTCTTTATCTCAAAGAAAATATGTTTTGGATCTTCTCCAAGATACTGGCATGCTTGGGTGTCGACCCGCTTCCACTCCTATGGACCCCAATCTTAAACTCTCTGTTGAGTCAGGGGAATTACTTCCAGATCCATCCGTGTATCAACGTTTAGTAGGTCGTCTTATCTACTTGACTAACACAAGGCCCGATTTGACATTTGTTGTCAGTGTGATTAGTCAATTCATGCATGCCTCTCGCTCAGCTCATATGGATGCAGTCTACCATATTTTGAGGTACCTTAAGTCGTGCCCTGGTCTTGGTCTGTTCTATGCCTCAGGAAATCAGTCTGGACTCTCATGCTTTACTGATGCAGACTATGCTGGATGTAAGACAGATAGACGTTCTACCTCTGGCTTCTGTACTTTCTATGGTAATCATCTCATATCATGGAAGAGTAAGAAACAGGCTGTTGTTTCTAGATCCTCTGCTGAAGCTGAATACCGAGCTATGGCTCAAGGTACTTGTGAGCTCCTTTGGCTTCAATCAATTTTGGGAGAGTTGGGTCTTGTACAGAAAGGTTCTTCAAGGCTGTTTTGTGACAATAAATCAGCCATTATGCTTGCTTCTAATTCTGTTTTATATGAAAGGTCGAAACATATTGAGGTAGACATTCACTTTATTCGAGAGAAGGTTCGATCGGGTATCATTAATCCTATTTTTGTTCCTTCTTCAGAACAGACTGCAGATGTGTTCACAAAGTCTGTTGGGCCTTCTCTTCTCCAGTCTTCCATCGTCAAGCTGGGCTTAGTCAACATATTTGCTCCAAGTTGAGGGAGAGTGTTGGAAATCTTATCTATAAGTTGACTCAACGATTATGGCAGATTTATTGGGTCTTCAATATAGGCTAATTTTTAGGGATTTTATTTTTATTCTGATTTGATTTGATTTTATTTTATTCTCTTTATTTTGATTTGATTTTATTCTCTTTTTCATATTTGTAATTTTCCGCTTGTCTATAATGATAGTCAAGCTCTCAAATTGAGTACGCCAATTTTACCAAGTTACTTTTAATACAAACTAAACCGAGTAGAATGAATTCGAGAACCATTTAATACTGGTTCAGAAGTTGAGCACCAGTAAGGCAGTACTAGACTAACTAGTACGAGTTGCAACGTTCCTATAGGCCTGGTGCAACTTTTCTGCACTTCTACTTACAAGGAAAAAATAATTATTATTATTCTGCACTTCTTAAAATCAGTCCAAATCAAGTTCATGGTTTTACAAATATATATATATATTTTAAGCATGCCTGATATTCTAGAAACTGCAAGTGTCCTAATGTGACTTCAAATTCATTTCTTTCCAGCCCATGTTTGCACAAAAATTTAAAGACATAATAATATTAACAATAAGACTTATTATGAAAATTTCCACCACACTAGACACTAAGCTCTAACAACTCTTCTAATACCTTTTCACTAACAAATGGACAAATTGACAATACTGTGCCACTTTAGTGGTGACCAGCAAAACCACCTCATAAAAACATCTAACACTTTTCAACAAGCATGAATATCTAAATCTTAATTACTTTATATTTATTATCAATTGTCCCAAGAAAAAGAGAAAAAGTTTGTTTAGTATCAATTTACCTTGTCCATGTAACGTTTGATAAGGATGGGAATATCTGATTTAGCTTTGAGACCTCCAAACAGGCAACCTGTGAGAGTTTTCCCGCTCTGAAGGATATCATGAAACCTAAAGCTCAATTGTGACCCTGGCTTGTCCACTCCCACCACAACTGTCTTTCCCCAACCCTGACGTTAAATACCAAAGTTAGTTACTCCAAAAATTCATCTAAGCACAAAAAGGGAAAAGTCAAATAAAAGAAACAGTTTCTCTTTTTTACACCATATACTACTAGCAACAACATAGACCCACATGAAACAATATATACTACTAGATTTGCTTGCAAATGTGTATATATGCATACATACATAGATATATATATGGGTGAATGCCTTAGAGGCCAATCAAATTGTCAGAGGGAAACTAGTAGATGAAGGGCAACGAATAGGTGAGAGACCGGATGATTTCCCTCCCCACTCTAATGATTACCATCAACAGCATCTGCAATATGTAAGATTAAGGAATAATCAATCAAATTACCATTTGGCCTCAGCCTATCAAGTATTTTTTAACCTCTTTATTAACCTAGTTTCAATATAAAAGAATTCTGATGACATCTCCATAACGTAGAATTAGGAACAAAACCCTGATTGGCACAAAAAGAGCCACCTACTGCAACTTGGCCTCAACTAAACAAATTTCCCGTTGAAATCACATTTTTGAGAAATTTTAAATGTATGAAAGTCGGCCAAACAGATCCAAAAAAACATCTCAAGGAGACCATTTATCCCTAATTTGACAAGGTTAACCATTTGATAGGTAACATATGTATGAAATATATAAAATCTAACCAAAAAGAAGTATGTTAGGAGTCGCATATGAAAGGATGCATGCTTGCACGTGGTGGGTGGGTGTGTGTGCGGCGCGTGAGAGAGAGAGAGAGAGAGAGAGAGAGAGAGAGAGAGAGAGAGAGAGAGAGAGACCTTTCGACAGCTAGCAAATGCTTCATGCACCAAGGATGCCAAACCAACACACTCAAAGCAATAGTCTGCACCGCCGCCAGTCATCTCGTTTATCACCTGTTCAATGTGAAACACAACAAATAAAAAAATTAACCGGTCTTTTTGAGGAAATCTATATGTCATATTGGTTTCACCCCCAATGTCTTCCTCCTTAGACATGATGATTCCAAACAACCTCCAGTCTTTATGAGCGCATCTTTATTTCTTTGTTTCACACATATCCATCCCTTGTTCCTTAAACATCATGAAGATGATTATTCCAAACAACCTCATTCCCCCAATCTCTTTTTTTCATCACCTTTTAGAACATCATTGTGGGCTTCCAAATTAACATTGGAGTAAATTGACAAAGAAACACAACAAAAAGGCGCTTTCTAGGCTACATTAGGATCCCATTCTGTAGCTTGCCAAATGTGAAGCATCATATAATTTTATAAACCTTTGAAAAAGGAACACTCAATCCACATTGCTAGATCAGAAGAGTAACTTCTTTATAATCCTCATAAGAACAAACACATCTAGCCACATAAAATTGTTCATGATGAGAGGCCATAGTGTCGCATTTTAGCAACTTTGTCTTTTTTTTTTAATAAGATACTTAGTCAATATGTTTTTTAAAAGAACAAGATCCACTTGAGGAACATTCTCAAGCCATTAAAATCATCTCCACTTCCTTAGCAATTAGTGTTTCCATCAAGTGGATAGAGAATTCTAGCTCTAAAGACAAAGCGCATTAGTTAAGAATATTACCTCACTCACAGGTTTATCCCCACAGCTGTCAGGGTTGACAAAATCAGTAACTCCAAATATTTTGCCTGTTTGAGAAAGAAAAGGACAGCATCATTCAAGTCCATGTAAAGAGAACTCATATGTATGAAAAACATATTTTTTGACATTATTATCCATCAATCATTTGATTAATCTATCTTGTTTCTGGCATCCATCTTCAAGTACAGAAAGGGTCCTTTAGTTAATGGTACAAGATCTTAATATACACAATAGCGATGAAAATGGACACCAAACTTGATGAAATAGTTGAAAATAATTTATGAGCAGCAACTTGAAAGGCTCCAAGCACGTAACAGTATGATTTCTTTTAAGTGAAATTCCTCCCCTTACCATATAAAGAAAGCTAGTGCGATGAGGGTTAAGAAAAATCACTCTTTTTATTTTCCTATTATTCTATAAGAGAGAGAAAAGTCACTCTTAGAATACTAAGAGTCCAAGTTGCTCTGTTGTTGTAGTTGAACTTTGCACAATTCATTGCAACCCAGAACACTGTACTTGAATGAAGAGAATAACAAAACAATAGGAATCTGTGTTAAGATGAAAAAATACGGAGTTCTTGAAAGGCTTGTTGGCCCCAAGGTCTCAAGCCAAGTGAAACTTCAAGATTTTGATGATAGCAAGCTATTAATGTGGGTATTTGACAGCCTACTTGAGTGCAATGAATTACAAGTTTATTATTCAATTTCAAATATTAAGTAGGTCCATGGATGGCGCATCTAAGTTATATTCAATTCAGGCACATTGATACAAGCTTACGGCTGACCCAGCACATGGCAAAGGAATTACACTTATTGAAGATCAAATTCAAGACCATGATAGTTGGGATTGGTGAGTGTTTGATCAATTTAAAATATTGGCTATGTTGCAAGATAATTCTAAGCTCAACTGTAGGATATAATAACTGGACCTAGGCTAAAAGACGAACTGTTTTCTTGGCCCTTGAGGAAAAATGACTTAGCGCTCTCACACTTAAATTCAAATTCAAAAAGCAAGGGCAAAACAGTCATTAAAGAGTCAATTGGTATTCCACTTTTTTGGAGCCAAATGCTTTAATTCAAATTTTCCATGAAAAGTGAAAATGGACGTTCTGCTTGTTTGTACAAGTCGCTCTCATCCAATGACATGGCCCAGCTTTACGGATGAGATCATACATGAATTAGTGTTTCAAAGTTTTTATATTTTGACTTTATTTGAATTCCAAAATCTTTCAAAATATGCATAAAAGTGTTTCTGAAAACTTTCATATTCTGAATTTTAAAACGTTTTTGAATTGCAGTATACTCCATCGATCGAGGCCCACTAGAATTGCTTTGACTGAGCAACTTCTGATCGATCGAACCCTGCAAAAATTCAGTTTCCTTTTTGAATTAAAATACTACCAACCCTATTGTCTCTATACTTTTATTTTGCCTATAAATATACAATGCTAGGGCGGAATACAGTATGCCTAGACAACAATTAATATTTGTAGAGAATACATATAAAGAGAGCTAAATTGTGGGTTTTTAGAGTTGAATCATATTTTTATTTTGCATTCATCATACTTGGTATTGGGGACTGTTTTTTATTGAACAGTAATATTCAACCATTGTCAAAAATTGAACTGGAGAACCAGCAGCTAATATTAGATTTGTGAGGGGTGAAGTTTGTTAACTAACGGTTCGTGTACCAGGAGACTCAAGGAGAGTTTCGTGGATCAATATGTGTCAAGAAGGTATCTAGCTACGGTTTTGGAAAACTATTAGCCTAGGTTGTAATCCTTCTTTCTCATAGTGGATTCAAAATTGCCTGGACTAGGTCCCATGGTTTTTTGGTTTGGATTTTCCACGTAAAAATCTGTGTATCCATTACTTGTATTTCTTTATCTGTTGATTGTAAACATGAACGATAGTTTAGTTAGGTTTGTTGAGATACAAAAACTTGTTAAATTCAGTATTCCAATCTACATGACCTATTCACCTCCTCTAGGCCCTAGATCACGGGCCTTGCACGACTATCTATCAATAGCATTGGTTTCCATTGTGAACTTTCAATTGGTATCAAAGCCTCAGGTTGTGGTCCAGAAACTTTTAGTTGGTACCAAAGCGGGTTACTCTAATTAGTTGAGTAGATCATGAAAATCCTTTAGGAAGATGGTTCCATATCTATACTTATTCTCTTTGACAGGCCAAACTACAACTACTCGAAAGCTTGAATGAGAACTTTTCTATATCTTTTGATCTATATCTTTAACGCATCTAATTTGCTACATATCTCTCTAATCTTTGACAATTTGAAATTATAGTTTGATATATTTTCAACACGAGCTTGTGAAGCATGTATCTCTCACATAGGGCTCCCTATTATAAAATTAGTCTTGCTAGAATATTGGTATGAGTGATTTATTGGATTGATTTTAGGAATCCTTCGTCAATGTATTTTTAATATTTATTAGTCATCACTTGTATTCTTTCACCTATAAATAGAGGTGGTGGTTGTAAATAAAAACTAAGAGAGAATATAGTAAAAGTGATGTAACCATTCGGGCTTTGTGTGTTGTGCACGTAGGCTGTAGTGGCCGAACCGCATATATCCCATGTGTTATTTCGTTCTCAATTTTTCTTTTCAATCTTTTATTTGTCAGTTATCACTTGTATTCTTTCACCTATAAATAGAGGTAGTTGTTGTAAACAAAAATTAAGAGAGAGTATAATAAAAGTGATGTAACCATTTGGACTTTGTGTGTCATGCACGTAGGCCGTAGTGGCCGAACCGCATATATCCTTGTGTTATTTCGTTCTCAATTTCTCTTTTCAATCTTTTATTTATTAGTTATCACTTGTGTTCTTTCACCTATAAATAGAGGTGGTTGTTGTAAACAAAAACTAAGAGAGAATATATTAAAAGTGATGTAACCATTTGGGCTTTGTGTGTCGTGCATATGAGATATATATTTCGTAATTGGCTAATTTCGGTGTCAAAATAAGTCAGATCGTGTTGTAGTTTCAAGTTTAAAATTCAAGATCAAGATCGGTTGCGGAATTAAAGAGTTGTTCGTGTTTGATAGCTTGAAGTCTACGAAAAGGTAAGAACAACACTTTAGGAAGTTGAGTTAGAAGGTTAGGACACTTGCATACATGAGTTGTTTTTAAAAACTGCAAAAGCAAAAATTTTACTAAGTGTTTAATCCTTCTGTTCAAGTCTGACCAACTTGAACTGGTTCCATGCAGCTGAACCGGTTCAAGATTCATACTTAGAATCTTTTCAACACTGGCCAACTTGAACCAGTTCAACCTTCCTGAACCGGTTCAAGCTCTTCAGAGATTTTTGGTAACTTAGTTTCTTGATCTGTTTAAACTTCCTATTTGGTATAGACTTCTTTCTAAAAACCTGTGCACAAATTTAACTTCTTTTCCAAGTAAATCTAGGTTTTTGAAAGTCTATATAAACATGTTTTCTCATCTAGGTTTGTGTGGCTTTTTGCATTAAACTTCTTATTTCTTTAAAAGCCTTTTTGTAAGATTTTTAAGAGCATGCACACTATATACACACGAGTGAATTTTAGGGTGTTGTTCAAATCCTGATCGTGTTCAAGTCTATTGAATATTGCATCTACAACGATCAGAGAAAGGAGATCTATTTATTCTTTATCAAATTCAGAACTAAAGAAAAGGGGTGAAGCGATCACACTTTGAAAGAGTCAAAGCATTCGTGGAGTGTTATTTAATCTACTAGCAATCCTTTTATATAGATCAAGAATAGGCCTAAAGTCGAAAGCTGTTGGACGGGAAGTCGCAAAGCCAGGGATTGTCAGCAATTGGTTTTTGGTAGAACGATAAGGTGTGACCTTGAGTCAAAGTTCATTGTACTTTGTTTTAAACGTAGTGGATCATTTTACTCTGAACTGCACAGTCCACGAGGTTTTTCCCACAACGATTGGTCTCTTCTGCCAATCGAGGTTTCCTCGCTAAAAATCCAGGTGTCATCTCTAAACTTTACTTGTTTTTATCTTGCATGTGATTGTTTAATTATTCAGGTAATTTTAGTATAATTAATTGAATAGAGAAGCACCAGATTAAATCCTCTCTAAATAAAAAAAAAACTTAAAACTTTCCACAATATTATATTCCTCTGCACAACTCACACTGCACGTAGGCTATAGTGGCCGAACCACATATATCCTTGTGTTATTTCATTCTCAATTTCTCTTTTCAATCTTTTATTTTTTTCATCAACATGGTATCAAATCAGGTTTATTATACCCTACTCTAGGCTCGTTCGACTCTCCTCTAACTCGCTTGAATTTCGTGATCAAATTTTCTCGTCTTGCATCTTTGTATCAATTCGTCTCAGATATCAGGATCAACTTGTCTCGGATTTCAAGAATCAGCTTGTCTCGAATCTTTAGATATACTCGTCTCGAATCTTCAGATCAACTCGTCTTGGATCTTAGGATCAACTCATCTCGGATCTTTGTATCCACTCGTCTCGGACTCTTGACGACTTCATATTTAGTTTCAAGTTGGACACTTGAGTGAAAATCTCTGTCTACTAACTTGAGGGGGGTGTTGTGAGAAGATCATAGAAGTGATTTAAGCCTTGATAGAATATTGATAGGAGTGATATATGCTACGAAGCACAGACACGCCTAAAAGGGCAAATAGTCTATGTCGGACACGCGTCGAACACGCCAAAAATGTGTTTGGATTTTTTTATATTTTGAATATTCGGACACGGCATGGACACGCTATGGACACGCGTAGAACACACCATAGATATTCGAACACAGCGCGGACACGCCGTGAATTTTTTTTTTATTTGTTGATAAGTAAGGCACTTGGGGATTTTAAGAAAGTTTTAGAAAGAAAGCTAGGTTGTAGAGTAACTATGAGGAGTTGTTTAATAGTTTTAATAGGCGATTTCAAGATTGAAAAGAATCTGTATATTACCGTACTTTGAATGGTTTACAATGCTTTAGTTAAATAGGAAATACAAGGGGCTAACAAAAGGAAACTATAGGCTGTAACAGCAAGCTATAGGCTATAAT